GAGTATTCATGACCCTTGTTAAGTGGTTCCAGAAAAGTCAACGGATCTGACTAGGGAGTACTGCGTCAGGGCTTCTAAAGAACCCTTCATTGCGAGGTATAAGAACCTAAGTCCAAGCCTAGGAGGAGAGGGACTCCCTTGCAGCACAATGCGCCGAAATCGTCAGTTCGTAACCACACGCTCGTGAGCTTCGCAATTCTCCCCATTTCTTCAATTCTCCAATTTCTCACTTCGGCAATGACTCGAGCCCAAGACGTTCATAACAAAAAAAGAACACAAACCTGTTTATGTATAGCTTGAAGTACCCGTTTTATTGTTAGAAGGTAAAGAATATCTCCTGATTGAGGTTCCCGCACGATAATACGATGTACGCGATGTAGACATAATTGCTCGCATGCTTCGATCACTCTGAAATTTTCCGAAGTTTTTCCTTCTCTTGTCATTTCAACGATTTCCTTTGAAGGCGGATTTCACGATAAATTGATCGCCCATTGGAAATGAAGGTAGAAGTGGCTACTACTGCTGGGGACTCAGAACCCGCAAAATTGGACATCATTCTCTCCCCTGATTTCCGCCCTGGATGAGTTCCATCGGCGCTGTCGTCAACCACGTGAACGCTCTGCTCTGCATCTCTGCCAAACTGCTACCTAGAGTTCGCGGCTAGAGTCAGACAGCAGAGGGTTAACCAATCAGTGGGCGTGCAGAGCAGCGTACACCGCTGGTACGGCCCTGGCAGTTCGAAAAGGGTCCCTATCGCTGCGATACGTGCATGTCCTGCGCTCATAGGCGTCTGCCTCCCTGTCTGGTAGTTTTTCCCTTTATTCGACCCCAATTTATCGTAGAATCTACCTTACAAGAAACAATTACAAGATGTGAAAAAAAGATAAAAAAAATTTCAGTGAAAAAGTTAGGTAAACTAAGCAGAGTTACTCACTTCATATCTGCAAACACAGTGACCAACGAGTTGTCGGTTATGAGGTCGCCTATCTCACCCTGAGTACACTGGGAAGCATCTTCACGTAGATACTTCAGGAAGTCAGTCAAAGTTACGATGGATGTAATCTAAAAATGACTCAATCAGCGAAAACAACAGATATCCTCCATGATCGAAAATCAAGAAAAATCGTTTTTGAAAGTAGGCTAAAATAATCTTAGTGTGACCTAATAATAATAATACGGTTTCACGAAGGTATCATTTGAAGTAGCAGAAAAATGCCCAAGTGTAATAATAACTTTGTAACCCTTACTCGTCTCTGAGAGGCATCCCACACCAAACCAGCACGCACATTTTGTTCACAGAGAGCCGAGAACGCTCTGTCGACCTGGAAAATGAGTGAATTCAACAGAAGGGAATGTCAATGTGTTGGCGTTTTGATAAAAGAAATGGTGCCATCTCATGAATTTTCGAAGCACTAGTTGAGTACACTTTGAACACTTACAAGGGAGGTCTTTCAGGGCAAGGTGCGCTTTTTCAAAACGGTTTGTTTTGTGCATATTGTAGGGACGCATGTAGGGAACGCAAAACCATGTTTCATTTTCGCTGAACGGTTATAGCAGTACCAAAAAAGAAGCATAAGGTACTTTGAGATGTCAGACTTTGCGAATCGCGCGACTCACTAGCGTCCGTGGTCGCGTTGCGGTACCAGCCAATTGAGTGATTCATTGGCCGCGACGCGACCGCAGACGCTAGCGAATCGCGCGATTCGCAAACTCTGACATCGGCCTTTAAGTTCGATCCCCCGTGGCGACTAAATTTTGCATTTGGGTTGGCGCCTACGGTTTGGTGCCAAATCGCGCTAAATATCAAAATCAGATGTCAAATTCATCGTCAGGACCATTTTGAAGCCAACAAGTGGCCGCCAACCTTGATTGCAAAATTTAGTCGCCGCGGGGATTGAACCATCAAGAGTATTACTTTTTTGGTACTACTAAAACAGTTCAGCGAAAACGAAACATGGTTTTGTGGCCCATACATGCGTCCCTACAACATGTACTAAACTGTTTCCAAAAAGCGCATCGTGCCTCTGCACACACAACACACAACTGTTAGGAGGACTGATGCCTGAATGTCAGAAATCGTTGTAATGAAGATATTCCTGCCGAAATGTGACAAACATGCGAAGCTCTAACGAAAAGAAGAGATAAAAATTAAGAGCAATTTCAAAAATACCTTGATAGATTTGTCGAGACCTATAACATTTCCGGATGAGCAATTCATAAACAGTCACACCTCTCGTGTACTGCGATACGGATGGACTGTGGACTTGAATAAAATAGTAATAATATCTTCGATGTCGTTCATTTTGACCTCGCATTTTGATTTATACCGTACTCGCAATGTTTTGTACATGTCAAACTAGGTTTAGATTAATGTAGGTGGAGTCATCCGACAATCTCCAGTCTCTGAAGAAGAGAAGCGGTCGAAACGTCAGCAGCGAATAAAGATCCATCTGTAAAAATCCCTCGTTCACATTGTACCAAAAACAATTAGTAATAATAAATCTTCGGAACTTAGAGGCAGGTACACGCCCTAAACTGATTGTCGTAGAAGAGGAAATGGATGCTTCATGTAATGCTGCGGTGGGAAACTGGGCCCCTGAGCGAGCAAGAGGTGGCGCTCTCACAGAAGCTCTCAGGACGGGAAAGCCTGTAGCGACGTAATACGGCTCTATCAATCTTTTTAAACACTTTCGTGTCCCAGCCCGTGCAGACCGTTCACAATAATGACGTCGACACCGGTAAGGCTCGTCCAAAGATCAACAGTGGAAACAAGTGTCTCGGTTTGCGGGTTTCAAGCCATTTTTTAACATTTCTATCACTGCTCCACCTCTGAGCAGCAAGCAGCCGCACCGCTCTCTAGCTCTTAGTGGCTGCGGTCTTTGAAGTCAGTGATGCGAAAGGAACGACAAGTTTCTTGGTGTGATTATTGTGAAGTCTGACAATGTTATGAGACACGATTAGACCAATTCCCACTCGTGCTACACATTTTTAGAGAGTTTCAGCAGTCTTGCTAACGATGTTGAAACATAAGAAAAAATGACAGAAGCTGATAAACTACTTAGACCACAAGCCCAACAACGTCGCCATACGGCGTGAGTTTTCGAGAATCAAGAATCCTGAAATTCATACGGATCATGAAAGACATTTGAGGTAAATGAGGGAAACCGCTAAACTTCAACAGTGGCTCTATAAAGCACCTGGGGGATTGTTTTCAGCAAGCGGCAGCAAATCCTTACCATGATCTTGACTGGAATCTTCTTTTCTATGCGTTCTCGACGGTATAAGTTGAAAAGGGATCAAAAATCCGTACCATCACATAGTTGTGGATATTTAGGGGCGACTAGCCACTTTGAGGAGAAATCGTGGATCTTTCAGTTTTTCGAGCAGGGAGTGTTCAGGCCTAATGTCGTGCCAGTTTTCCCGTCTTAACGTGCTCCTATGTATGACTCATCTAGCTTTTCATCTCATTTCCATAGGTCGTCCCGTCTATCGCTGCTTAAGGACGGAAATGTGCGATATAAGAGCAGCCCATTAGAAAACTCAGATCAAGTTTCAGTGCGTCGCCAAACAAGAAGTAAACCATGAAAACTGCCCAGACCCCGATAAATGAGAGCCGCTTCTCTCCGTTAATTTCTAACGCTATATCACGATTCATCGTTGCTGCAGAGCTCTTCAATGCTAATCCCTCTCTTGACTGTAAGGTCACGACCGAAGTGATGGCGTGCGGGTACGCGCCTTGCTATAGCTGTTGGGCATCACTTTTCCGCTGTGAACGCAAAAATCTCCGCACTTTCTCGTAGTAGTTCCCTTGAGAAAAGGGCCGCTCTTAAGCAGTGCACACCCCTAGCACGAAGCAGAACCTGTTTCCGCAAGGTAAGGTGGAGAATTCCAGTTTATGGCCTACAGAGGTATTGTATCTGGGCAACTCAGAGCCATACTGCGCGACAGGGAGATATCTGATAAATATCGCTCATTTATGCATTGAAGATTGCGCGTTTCGAAGACGTTCCGGTTCGAGCGGAGTTTCACGCGGATAAATGTGGTGTAATATTTATGGAACACCCTGCATATACTTTACTTACCGAACTGTTACTCCTCGGCCTTCGGAAAGCCCAGTCATCATCGTAGAAATCGGCCGATCCCTCTTCGCCCTCGCGTAGATCGTAGACTGAGGTCAACTGGCAGCCATTGACCTTGAACAGAACACATTTAATGTCACCACACGGCTGCACAAAAGCATGACGGCAATTTTCTCATCAGATCCAACCTTTCTGGCGCTTGTCCCTGTCACTCACATCTCAAGTAGTCTACTATCCACGCGCGACAAAATTGCGCGACGAAAACCCTTAGGAAATTTCCGTGCGTCTTTACTAACTGTAAGTTTCGTTGCACGAAGACGAATGGCGTACGGTGGGAAGAAACGCTACACGCCCACCAATTTCTTGAAGTACAGGCTTCGGTAAAGGCGGAATATCCGGAAAAGATAGCCCATTAGAAATTAAGGTAGAGGTGATCAGTGATGTAGGGATCATTAAAAAACAAGAAAAACTAAGCCTAGAATCCGAGAAATGGAACCCCTTTTCACCCGTTGATCCGCAATGGAGCGAGTTCCGAGTCTCTGCTGTGCGTTTCTGCTATAGTCGTAGAGGTCAGGACTAGACTCCGATGGCGAGGAGTTAGCCAGCCGGTGAGCGGCGTGAGCTGTACAAGTACGGCTTGTGGGGGGATACTTTTGGTGCGGAACGCCCATCGTACCGCACCCTTAGGAGGGCCGCTTGCCTATCAAGTACGTATATTTCCCCTTCTTAAACCTCCGTCCTTATTGCAGAATAATCTTTTAAAAGGTAATGAGGGTCTAATAACAACACTAGGGTCTGATAACAATAAGGGGGCATGTGACACGAAAAGGGCTAGATTACGACGGCCAGAGATCAGCAGCTACGGGAGCCAGAGGCACGAAGGTGAGCAGGAGGCGTGTGAAGCCTCATTGCGTCCTACGAGTTCACGCCAGCGAAAGCGCTAGGTATTTTTTCCTAGGGGCCAGTTTTCCTCCATTGCAGACACGTTTTCTCTTCTTCAACATTCAATTTATCGTATCATCTTCCTTTGGAGCTTGTCTCAAAGGAGCGATTGAAATTCATCAAGACATTTAGTTGATGGCACGGAAACGGAAGGGCATAAATGGAATGGAACGGAAGTCAACAACTTCACAAACAGGAAGTGCTACTTGAAGCAATGGATGATGCGAAAAACACAAAAAAACAACTCCAAGCCTTCATTATTAAAAAATAATGGGTGAAAAATTGAAGGCAAAAAGGTCCTGTTTCAGATAAATCAATATGAAGACTAAAATTCGAAATATCCGAAAAGAACAACAATCGATCACTCTGAAAACCAAGATAGGAGTAGCGTTTGACGTAAAAAAAGGGCGGGGGGGGGGGGGGGTTCGCCTGTGGGAAGAGGGAGGGCT